TACTCTGGGAATATCTGGGATTGTGGGAAACAGTATTTTGATCTCTCTGTCTGTACACACACACTGAAAGATTGACAATAAAGTTGACTTTGACTTGAAGGCCTCAGCAGAACAAAACAGAACCATCAGATGAACTCACCCTCAGCGTCTTTCTCTCTGCTCCTCTGTTGGATCTCCAGCTCAGCCAGTTCTCCCAGTATCTCCATGCCGTGGTGCGGGGGGGGGCTGGGGGTCCTGACAGCAGGAGCAGGAGGGTACAAGGCATCTCTTGAGGCGCACAGAGTTGCAGCGATCAGGAGCTCCAGGCTCCACATGTAGGCGCCTTGTGTCTGGGCTGCTGTGCCCGGGGTGGGGGGGAGGAGGGTGTCAGAGGAGGGGGGAGGACCAGGAGAAACACACCTTACTTCCACTGAGTTTTCGCCTGGAATCTCCTTCTCCTCCTCCTCATCCTCCACCACCTCTACATTCTCTCCTTCTTTGTCCTCCACCTTCTCCTCTACAAACACAGTACATTCTGTTGGTTCAGGCCCCAGTTTTTCTCCCTCCATGTCCTCTATTCCATGTTTATTATCATCCTCCTGCTCTTTGGATATTTGGGGCTCCTCCAGGCCGGCCTTCTGGCCCGGGCAGCCCAGAGAGAGCTCTACTTTTAGGGTTTTGCCTGTGGCGGGGCAAGCTGAGTCTTGGATCAGAGCTGGGGAAGGGCATGGCGGCAATCCAGAAATCTCGCTCTTGGGCTCAGAGAATCCTTTCACTTCCTTCTCCTCGATCACAACTGTACTCCGGGATTCCACAACTTCACAGTCTCTATCTTCTTCTTCTTCTTCCCCCCTCTCCTCTTCTACGGTGATGTGGAACGGATGTGGGCGGGGCTTGGAGTGGGGCTCTGCCGGCTCCGCCTCCACTGTGGCTTGTTGGGCCAATCGAGCTTCCGGAGGCGAGGGTCCGGCCTTGTAACCCATGGTGATCGGAGGGTAGGTGTAAACAGGTGGTAGGTCTGGAGAAAAGAAGAAAAAGCCGACGTCAAAAAGCATATAAAACCATTTCACTATCGGACAAACTGTGCAAAATAATATTAAAAAGCATCAGAAAATAGAGAATCTCTGTGTCTTTAAGTGAGGCCCTTTCCCTTTTTGTATTCATTGCCATTCTGTTCAGGCAGAGGATGACGCGCGTGATTACAGTCGGCATAATACACTGACAGCAGGGTGCCGAAAACACACAGTGTGTCTGCTCGTGTGTGTGTGTGTGTGTGTGTGTGTGTGTGTGTGTGTGTGTGTGTGTGTGTGTGTGTGTGTGTGTGTGTGTCTGTGTGTGTACAATATTGTAAAGTATATGTTTTGGATGTGTGTGTGTGTGAGTGAGTGTATAGATCTATGTGGGATATTGATGACACCCTGCCGTTTTCCTGTGATTGCAGCGCCGGCCCTGTCACCCCTGCGCTTTCTATTATTGATGGTATCCCTCCGCCCCCCTGACAACACAGCCAGATGAATGCATATCCTTCCGCCTGTTCTTTCTCAAGGACCCCTGAAGGATAAGGAGAGCCCGTCTGAAGATTTCTCTGACCTTCGTCTCGTGACACACATGCAAGCTTAAAAACACACACACACACACACACACACACACACACACACACACACACACACACACACAGGTGCACTATGGCAGGTCCAACACACGCACACTGAGTGCCCATATGCTTTCTTTGACCTTAATGACTGACCTGCCCGCTGTCCCTCTTTAGCTCTCTGATGAAACATGCTCACACACATACACACACTCAAGGGCACACAGAGCAAGGGATCGGCCATGCTTCAAACTATTTCTGCAAAATCAAAAGAACACCACGCTTCAAAGACCGGTGCTACATTTCTGCAGCAGCATCGTCTATCTTACTCTCTTTTTCTGTCCCACTACACCTCTCTATCTCTGTCTCTGCCTCGTCTCTAACTCTCTGCCTATATTTGTGTTGTCTGACTTTTCAACCTGCTGATAAAGTTTTTGTTTTTAAAATCAGAGTGAGAGGGGTGCAGGAACAAGTCCTTAAACCCAGGAATGAGTTAGCATTTAACAACTTCTCGTTGCCTTGTCCTAAAGTTAGCGTTTTTAAAAAGTATTGATGACGCCTGAAATCAGTTCTGTGGCTAACACAAGCTGAAGAGATGTTCATGTTTTGTTCTATGAAATGTTCAGTAAATACCCCACTGGTGAATTTAAAAACTATGGTTGCTGAAAAGGTTAAAAATGGGACCACTAAACGCCGAACATTAGCTATCTTTAGCTTAGCGGTGCTGGCGCGGAAATTAGCTCATATAGCCTAACGTTAATATTTTACTCCCACATAAAGTTGTGTTAATATGTGGAGAATATCGTGCTCAACAAATGTGGAAGTATCATACATTTTTCTTTGCCAAAGATCTTATTTTCTCCAATAATCCAAAATCCAATAGAAAAATCTTTTGCCAACTTCCTATTGGCCTACAAAAAGACGTCCTCACTGCACCATTCTATTCCCAAAGTTAAAAGATCTACACACTCACCTGGCTCTAGGGATTGTGGGTAGTCCTGCGGTGGCTGTCCCTCTCCTCGGTCACTGCCCCTCTCCAGCCCCTTAGAGAGGTGTGAGGGGGCGGGGCTTAGGGCGGGGGAGCGAGGCGCCGCCGCTGCAGGGCTCGGTGCGGGGGTCAGGGGGTTCGGAGGGTGAGAGCGCCGGGACGGGGAGTGGTAGCACGGAGACTGGCGGCTGCTGGGACACATCCCCGGGGAGGGGGTGGGCGTCTTGGGTGGAGGGGGGGTGTGGGAGAAGGGTTTGGCCACATGAGAGGAGGCAGTGGACGAAGAGGAAGGAGTTCTGGATGCAGACGATTCATGGGGAGATTCCTCTATTGTGATAGCATGCTCCTCTTGTTTTCTCTGTAGATGAGGAAACAGAGAGGGAAGAATAAATCATCCTCAAATTTAATTTTCTGATATTTCCTTCATAATATCTCAAGCAGTCTGCCTAAATTACAATATAGTTAAACACAATATAAACAAAACCATCAAATAGTCTTCTAAAAAGTCAGCCACACTGTGTGGTCGCCAAATGATCGAGCAATGTGAGACCGCACAAATGCCCCACCTACACCTCCTTATCAGTGAAAACCTTTTCTGAGAAAAAGAGAAAGTAATTGGCGTAAATAAGTATGACTTGCATTGGCTTCTTCTGTCAAAAAGTCCTGACTAATCAAGGAGGAAGTTCACAATATTTCCACACTTCCTAATTCTCAATCGTCCACCATTGCGCAAAAATATGTTAACAGCATTTCACAAGTTCACACTACAATGTAACCGCTCCCAAAATGTGTAAATGCAATATTTTTAAAATGAAATGCATTGTATTGGTTTTGGTTACCTGTGCTATTGAGTGTCGCTGCATGTGCTCCATGGCTCTCTGCTGCTGCTGGTGCTGATGCTGCAGGGCGTAGAGCTCCTGCTGACGGAGGAATGAGGAGCGGGAGTACACTTGGTGGTGCTGCAGGTGAGAGGGAGGGCCTCTGCCTCCGTACACAGGGGGCCACAGACCTGACTGCTCCAACACATCTGGAGTGGCAGACGAAGAAAAAGAGTTTGATATGAATAATAGAACATGGGTGCAAAAAGAAAAGGGAGGAAGAAATTTCTGTCTGCATGTCGCTAAACATTCAGAACAAGTTGGGACATACAGGTTTGCAACGTTGCAGGAAAGTCATAAAGATAAACAGCTCCTTCTTTATATGTTGGCTTGCAGGAAACTCGGCCACTTTAACTAAAACATGTAACAACTGTGAACCGTATGTTGGCCGCAATCAATCAATCCATGCTTCACCTCCTCCATTCACCTACTTTAACTCTATTCAGGGAAACACTCGTTTTCTGTGAAGCCCCAACCCTGGGCACATACTGTATGAGTTAGGATACACACACACACACACACACACACACACACACACACACACACACACACACACACACACACACACACACACACACACACACACACACACACACACACACACACTACACTACTACACACTACACTACACGTACACTACTACTACTACGACTACGTACTACGTACTA